CTTTCATTTAATTACAGGAACAGTCAGGATCAATCTGGCAGCTATTCAAATAGGAGTTTGCCTTTATGCCATCTCTTCACAGTGGGAGCTAGAAGTTCAGATTGGCTGCTGAAGGCAGGGGATGGGGACAGAAGGTCACCGCTGTCATTAGGAGCCCATGGAATGAAGCAGAGGCGTCCTGCGGCCTATTTTTATCTCTCTGCTGGCTTCTGTCTCTTCCCATTGCTTGTCTTTCAAGCTCTCTGCCTCCACCCCCACTTCTGCAGGGGCTGGTTCAGAAGCACGAAGCATCAACCTGAGAGAGAGAGAGAGAGAGAGAGAGAGAAAGCAAAGCCCAGAGATGCAGAGTGTCTGCCCGAAAGGCATCCAGCGTGCTGGAAGGAGATGGAGCTGGGGCACTGGGAGGCTTCCCAGGTAGCAATAACAAGCTTGGGCTCAGGGACAGACTCGCCTGGTGTGAGCTTAGCTAGGACTTCCTCTCTCCACGTCTGTTTCTTCCCTGCAACATGAAGCTTGTAGTAAGTAGCCCAACGTCACCACCTGGCACCAGAAAGCTAAGCCAACACTGAGGAAAATAGAGCTAACAGCGCCTGGGGCTGGATGACAACCATTTTTGAGCGGCTTGATGCAGCCATACCTTAAGCCAGGATACCAATGCTTTTATTACATGATACAATAACTTCTGTTACCTCTGACGCTAGGTTGAGCAGGGTTTCCGTCTGTTCCCACCAGAAGAAGCCTTTCTAACATAGCCGCATGGCAAGAAGCAGGGATATGCTATCTCCTCCTATGTACGGAGGGTGGGGAATGGCCGTTGGGTCCACGCAACAGGCCTGACCTCCTCTAATGAAGAGCAGAGGGCAGCCCACTGGTCCAATCTGCTATTAAAGGAAGACTTGATCATTGCCTTGCAGGGAGATAAATGACAGAATGCCAGGTGAGGCTGATGCCCCAGTTTGGGAACTTGGGAGCTGGCCTTCCCTGGAGCCATGGGTTTTCGAGGAAGGCCCAGCAGTGCCCAGAGACACTTGTCCCTGTCTGTCCTCTCCTATGCCCACAGCAACGAGGCAGGATGCGCCCAACACCCAGAGGCACAACTCTGTCCAACCGCATCTCTACTGCTTTCTTTCGTCGGCGACATTTCAGCCTTTGACTTCTCAGAGCAAAGCCACCATTGTTGGATCATCACAACATCATCATCATCATCATCATCATCATCATCATCATCATCATCATCATCATCAAGCATTTACTGTATGCCATGGACTTTATACATGCAGGATCTGGTTGAATACTGTCAACAACCTTATGAGTACAGCTGTATGACTATGTCAACTGTACCGGTCAGGGCAGGCTCAGAGAGGTCAAGGTACCCAACCCAGTACAGTGCCATGCAGCCGGGACATGAGCCACCAGAATTCTAACCAGGCAGCCAGGCTTTCATGCTCTGTGTCAGCTCACCTCTAGCACCAAACCCAAGTCCACGGCCACGGAGGTCTGACTCCCGGCGACCCTCTAGAGCAGAGTCACACCACCTCCATTGTGTTTCCAAGGCTGTCAGTAGGCTTGCCACATCTTTCTACTGTGGAGTGGCTGGTGGGTTTGAACCACAAACCCTGTAGCTCACAGTCAACAGTTCACTCACTGAGCCACCAGGGCACCTTAAATAACGACTGGGCGGAAGCAATACTACCTACCACTCAGATACAGGTCTATCCATTCAGATTCGGACAACTTTCTCCTGATGCAACCTCGCACGGACAAGGACACGTGGAGGGCAGCACAGTCTCCCTCACAAACTGAAGGTGGTGACCCCAAAGTCTGGGCCGCGTCAGGTAACTAACCGCCTCCGGGGGATAATGCCCAGCCCCACTGTGCTCCATGGTTCGAATTCAAACACCTGTTAGCTGTGTGAACCCGGGAACCAGCGAGACCCCAAGCCCACTTCTCTTCTGACAGGTGGGGTAACACTGCAGACTGGTGCACTGAGGGGGTGCGAGAGTAGGACCGGAGCCAGAGAAGCTCCCAGCAGGGGAGGACCACAGCAGAGTGTGGCAGTTACATAATCTAGGACTCAGGGGTCCTCAAACTATGGCCCACGGGCCACATGCGCCCCACCGAGGACATTTATCTGGCCCGCTGGGTGTTTTTGCCCCATTTGTTTTTTTACTTAAAAATAAGATATGTGCAGTGTGCATAGGAATTGTTCATAGTTTTTTTTAAACTATAGTCTGGCCCTCCAACGGGTCTGAAGGACAGTGGACTGGCCCCCTGTTTAAAAAGTTTGAAGACCCCTGAATTCTAGGTAGTTGTCAATTTGAGACTTAAGAGCGAAGGGGTGGAGTTTAGCCTGTCAATCAGTTCGCAGCTTGATGACCTCATTTGGAGGCCCTAAGGAGATAAATAGCTCGCTGGAGGCGGGACACACACTCACTCCCTGCAAGACATTACTGACAACACGCCTGATGGAGCTACACTGATGGAGCCAGAGCCCTGGACCTGCAGGAGCCACGGGGAGACCCACGGCAGCGCTGGGATGCTTCCACCTCTACTGGATCCACAAGACTTTCCACCCACAGGCCTGTGATCTTCCTGCATTTGGCATCATTGCATGAGTTGCATGAGTCTGAACAGGACTTTATAGATTGGTATCGGAATTATGGCCTCATATCGGCTAATGGCCTTGATCCGGACTGGGATGTTTTCTCAATATTTAACTGCTCTTGTGTATACACATGAGTGTCTATGAATTTGTTTCTCTAGTCCACCCAGACACACACACACACACACACACA